ATTAGAAGCCCGTGCTGGAGGGGTTAAGGATTGTGAGCGCTTTTAGACTAACAATTACATGTTCAAAGACTTTGAAAACAAGTAGCCGCTCTGTAATTCAGCCCAGGAAATGAGTGAAAGAACCCCAAAATTTCACATGAGGAGTCTGGAAACTCTATTTTTAAAAGAACATAGGCCTATAATTCATGGGCAAATGAAACACAGAAATGCCACAAAAGTAGGTTTGCAAAGAAAAATAAAGTAGCAATAAAAAAATCTAATCAAGGGAGAAACATAGAATGAGTGTATTTATCTCCACCTGTTAAAATAGACGTTATTGAAAAAGCTGGGAAATGAGCCACCTAAATGCAAAATACTGGATTTGCCTGAAGAACACTCTGTGACAGAATAAACCAAGTCATAATATCCACACGAAAGACGGAAATTTTGTGTGTGTGTTTTCAAGAGTCCAGAACGAAGCTAACTTTGTCAGGGGGTGAGATCTTCTGTGATTGTTCCAAAAATAAAAGCCCCATTTATTGTGCCCACCCTGTGCCTGGCACTGTGCCAAGCATCTTACATGTTTTAACATATTAAATCCCTATAAAAATCCAGTGTCATATCACACTATTCTTAGGTTTATTTTACAGATGAGGAAACTGAGATTCAGAGAGGTTAAGTAACTCACCCAAGGTCACACAGCCAGGAAGTGTTGGAGCAGGGATTTAAAGCCAGGTCCGTTGAATTCTGCACTCTCACCCCAACACACACACACACACACACACACACACACACACAGGTTCCATGCCCCAAATTCACCAAGTGTCTTTTCCATTGTTCTCTAAATATAGCCAACTGTTTCAGCTTCCCTTCTGGGACCCCTTATGCCTGCCACCCACATGTCAAGGCTCAGCTAAAATGTCATGAAACATAGAAGGCTTTCTCGATTGCAACCAGCGCTACCCCCCCTTCCCCTGCCCCAGCCCCGTGGTGGGACCCATCCTCCCCTCTGAGCTGTATGAGGACCAGAATCGTTTCCACCTTAGAAAACCCTGCAGTCCCAGTAGCCAGAAGCTCCTAACTTGAGGAAGACTGTAGCAATCCTTTCCCAAACAAATAGATAACGGACGGACTCCTCCTTGCTCTGTGCCATCTTTATCCGGTACGCCAGCCATTCCCCAAGGGGTGATTTTACCCCCGAGGGGACATCTGGCAGTGTCTGGGACAATTCAGTTGTCATAACTCTGGGGGGGCCACTGCATCTAGTGGGTGGAGGCCAGCAACGCGGCTTACCATCCTGTAGTTCACAGGACCGCCCCCAACAGAGAAGGACCTGCCCATGATGCCAACAGTACTGAGGCTGGGAAGCCCCGATGTGCGCCTTCTGTCTCAGCGACCCACGCCGTGATGGGCTGGGAGCCCCTACAGGCAGGGGCCACTATTACTTTGTCTTTCTAGACCGTGCACCTCACACAATGAATGAATGAATGAATGAATGGACGAATGAAACTCAGTGTGCACATTGGGGTCATGGAAACCACATAAGATCAGGGGATTGAACTGAGGACCTGAGTTTGGAGTTGCTTATTAGCTGTGTAGAAAAGTGTAGACATGTGTGTCTGTATAGAATTGTTCATGCTGGATTATTGTGATTGGCCCCAAAAAAGCTATGAGGTAAAAAAAAAAAAAGACAAACCAAAATACCCACTAATGGTTTGGTTTGACAAACACGGCCCTAGAGAACTGTATTCTCATTAGCCCTGTTCTGCATCAATGTTACGCTGAGGTTTTTAAGGTCGTTAGGGAAAAAAACCCTGGTTGCTCATAACTATTGGTTTACTGTCTGGGGCTTGGGAGAGAGAGGGTGTTTACTCAACTAAATTCTTACTGATCACACAGTTTCACAGTGGGTTGAGTAAATTGTCACATCCAGGTCTTTTCACATTAAATACAAGTAGAGGTATTTTAGTGGAGAAACAAGAGTTATTCCGGGAAACCCTCCAGAAAAGACTCTTTGGTTATTAGTTAAATGGAAACAGACAAGGAAGAAATATGAATGTCATGACAATGAGAAAAACAGTTCTCAATTAATTGTAACACAATTTACGTTTTTCAAAGTTCAGGATCTTATGTGACATTCATAATGATGCTGGGCAGCGAATACTGTCCCCGCTTTATAGAGGAAAATACAGAGGTCAGAACAGTTGGGCCAAAGGTTTCCCCAAAGTCCATGTTGCAAGAGACTGCACCTGGAGGGAAGAATGGGAGCTGGCTCACAGTCAGAATGGCCTTGAAGATCAGGGGCCCCGGGCAGATGGAGCACCCCCCCTTCTTGGTGCAGTGAGCACCTCAAGATCATCTCAGCAAAAACAGCTCGGCCACCCTGCGGGGGACCAGCCAGTGGAAGTGGTGCTTTCCAAGCTCAGTGTTTCCCTGGGTGGTATTTAAACAGCCCATCAGAAGAGGATGGGCAATTTATGAAAAGAGATCTGTTAACTATAAACTAAAATGCCAGAGACAACAGAGGGGGGGAAAGTCTTCATGGGCAATTGAGGGCAGTGAAGGCCCAGAGACCTCCGGTGGGCTTAGAACAGGCTCTGTCTCCTGGTCGCTGAATTGACTGAGTGCTGGGTCTTTATTTTCATACTATTTCCTGGGAAGAAAGGGAAACAAAGAGTGGTCTGTTCATTTGGGGTTCATTTTGTCTGTTGTTTTTTGTAATAGTTGGGACTTCCACAAAGAACAGGCAAAGTATGCATTCACGCCAAAAACGACGGAATATTCCAAGATTATCATAAGCTTGTATTTGGCTGTTTCCAGTTCAGAATTACCAACCATGCCACAAACTTCCAGTGTTCTAGACAAGAATGATAGAGATGGCTCGAATTTGCATTTTATACAAAAGAATAAAGCCTGATATTTGCCCCCCTTGATGTAGAGATTGATGAGCACCCCTGCAAAGATGCATGTGCTGTGTTTAATGAAGCAACTTCAGACTTTGATCTCAACCCATCAGCATGATAATTATAAATGTACTAGCTTTCCGTGGTCCCTTTTTATCAAGTATAACGATACCACATAAGCAAAGTAGGAAGCTCTAAAATTAAAACTAGGAGTCATATCCTGGAGAGGCATGGGGAAGTTTCTGGAAGTCGGTAAATGGCCATCTCCTGCCTTCTTCTCTCCCACTCTTCCTTCGCCCCTTTAGCAGCGCATTTGGTGTGAACCGAGCAGCAGATTAGATAAGGTGGCATTGCCCTTCATCGGCAGATGGACAAGTTCAGCCAGAAAGATGTCCAGAGGGGTCAGGACACAGCTGTAACTCGGGACTTCCGGCTTCTTCCCTGGGCATGGGTCTCCGTCTCCAGTGTTGAAAGGACAGATGTTGAACCATATGTCCTGAATTTAAGAACACAGAACAGTCTTCTGTTCCTAGTTTTAGTGATCGGGTGCCCTTTTCCCCGTGAATGGCAAGGCCGATACGGCTGTGTTCCCACCAGCACTGTCCGTGGGTTATGCGAGACGGCTGAGATCGGGCGGACCTTGCCTGCCTGTGGTCACATAGGCCCAGGTGACTGTCGTCCGGATGCCTGTCCAAGGAAGCACCAGCCCAGCCACCGGTGGCGAGGCCCACAGGTGTGCCGTAACAAAACCGCTCCGTGCTGGGCATGCAGAGAGACTTGTTGGTGAAGGTCTGCAAACGGGAGGCTGCTGGGGAGAGTGCGTGTACTTGCTGGTGGGTCAAACTCAGCCAGGTCTTTCTGGGGTAGCTCCTGCACCCCGCCTGCAGAACGCGTGCATGAGATGCTCAGGAAGACACGCAGACCTCCCGGGGGGCTGAGGGAAGTCAGCCCGAGGAAGTGTGCAGAGAGGCTGTAGGAGTGCCCGCTCATCAGGACGCCTCTTTCGGGACGGCTGGTGGCGAGGCGCGGGGGTAAGACCGGGGGGACAGCCCTCGCTGACGGAGGCCCCCGCACTGCGGCGAGCTCCTCTTCTCCTTCAGTCTGCTCCTTCCCTCGGTTGCCAAATAAACCTCATTCCCACGGTCTTCTGGAAAGGAGGGCCTGGCCCGAGACACGGTCACATCAGGAGTGCCTTTGGGTTCCCTCTCCCTCGTGATCTAGAGCCTTCTGTGTCCGTTCCAAGATGGATTAGACGCTCTTGTCCACTGCAGACGTTCATGTCCCATCTTTCCGGCCAGAAACACCTGCTCCCGGTGAGGGGGGTGGGCCTGGGCCCCTGCCCCTCTCCAGGGATTGTGTAAGGAGCGCCGGCCCCTCACCTTTGCTCCCTCTTGGGAGCCCTGGACAGCCTCCCTCCTCCTTGAAAATGGCCCCCCCGCCCACCTGTCTTCTCACGAAGTGGCTCCCACGTGACGTGAATTACAAGAAATTCACCCATTGTTCCTGGGCTTGAGTTTTAAGAGTTTTTTTTTTTTTTTTTAAAGATTTATTTATTTATTTGAGATAGAGAATGAGACAGAGAGAAAGAGTATGAGGGGGGGAGGGTCAGAGGGAGAAGCAGACCCCCTGCCGAGCAGGGAGCCCGATGCGGGACTCGATCCAGGGACTCCAGGATCATGACCTGAGCCGAATGCAGTCGCTTAACCAACTGAGCCACCCAGGTGCCCGAGTTTTAAGAGTTTTGAAATGTGTGTGTAAATACATAAATGTACACGTCTAACTGTGAATCTCTGTCTCCACTGTTGTGGGAGAGGGCTGGAAGTCACAGCGCAGCATCCTCCGGTGGGGGGAGAGGCCGTGGGAGCCCCACCTTGCCCCAGGGACACCCCACCGTCTCTGCGGATGGCGGATGCCCTCCTGGGACAGCCGGCCTTCCTTCCCAGGCCGTAGAGAGCGGAGGGTGGTGGGGTGGTGAGGAGCAGGTGCTTCCCAGCCCCTGGAATGAGGGGTCGGAGGAAGCCGCCCCCCCCCCCCCCGCGCCCCGCCAGCCTGTGCCCCAGCTCTGCTTGGCGCCATCTAGGGGGCTTCTGACCTGGTTTTTCTTTCCCTCTCCCACAGGGGCGGATCTGTAGAAAGGCCGGCAAATCAAAAAAGTCCTTCAGCCGCAAGGAAGCCGAAGCTACCTTTAAGAGTTTGGTGAAGACGCATGAAAAGTACGGCTGGGTCACCCCGCCCGTGTCCGATGGCTGATGTGTTCGACGTGTGGGAGACGCTCCAGCCACCTGTCCACACACACGAGTTCCCGACATCTCCTCCTCAACGCCGAGCATCCTCACCCTTTTCAACTCCAGCCGGAACTGAATCCTGAATGCCAAGGAGACGTTTAAGTTATTTATGAACAGATGTGTTTACAGGGAGAACGAGGGAGCCAACACTGTTCGGGATTAGGTTTCGACTGTAAATGAGCGGCCATCTCGAAGTCACTTTAGAACCGGTGTTGAGATGGTGACATTCCCCAGCCCGCCTGCCCCTCCGCCCGCCTCCTCACACTGCCCTTGGCTTCTTCCCAGACCACAGCTCCAAAGAGCAGGCAGGAGCCCCAGGGCCTGCTGCTCGACCCACTTACTGTGCACGGCACGTTCCCGTGTACTAGGAACGCCCTGCATCGCTGTGCCGTTTGTCTCTGTTTCTCTCCCGGGCAGGTCGACATAACCTGGAGACGTGTCTTTCTGTGGCCCCGTGTGACGACATGTAGACCTCATTCGTGCTATGACCTTCAGCTCCTGAAAACACAAATTTCACATTGCCAGGTTCTCGTGATTTAGAACAGCAACTGCCCCCTTCGTGAAAATGTGCTCCGTCCGCCGGCGTGGCAGCGAGCCGCTGTCCCCCCGCAAGGCAGGGCCCGGGGACGGACAGCAGGGGCTCCGCGGTGGGACAGCCTCCTCGGTATTCTGGAACGCTCCCACGACACCGCATCCGTGTTCCTGTCTCCTCCCAGCTGGTCAACCCACCACCACGAGCAAGAGACAATTTCCCGTTCCCTGAAGTCATCGGACACATTTTACTCTCCATGCTAGTGACAGGGAATGCCAGGACTGCCAAAGGACACCAAGGGATGGTCCGAGGACTTGCATGACCGGGTCTGTTCCTCACCCTCCTGTCACTTGTGTGCCCTGGGGGCTGGGCTGCGTGATGCGTGAGCACCCTCGCCGTGATAGCAACTTCCCGTTACTCCATCGCCCACACTTTCATTTTTCTCCTCTGTTAAGTTACTTAGAACTTTCTAAGAAACTCCATGAAGTGAGGAAACACTGTTTATAACAATACATGGGAAGAGGTAAAATGTTCATCCCAGGTGGAAAACCTTATTGGACGCATTTTAAATAAAATCATCCATACCTGACACACTACTTCGAGAATCCAATCCCTGGGGGCTCGCCTTCCCTTTAAAACATTCCATCTGTCTTTAAAATTCAATATTCCGAATACCGTGATGACATTTTCCCGCAAGTTACAAAAAAATGAGTCTTAGGAACCCATGGTCTGTGCAAAACTCCAGTGTGTTAACATGGTCCCCAGCAGCAACCGGGGAGGCCATCAGAAGTTAACAGGAAGTGTGAAGGGTTGATTTGGCCAAACTTGGATTTTGCTGATTATGTTTTCCCACTACGAGGGAAAAGAATCTTTGCTGATTACATACAATTCTTTGGGCAGTTTTGGCTAAATCAGGGACCTGTTCACTTGTCCAGGGTTGTCAGAGGTCCAAGAGACCTGGCCTCAGAGGACAGGGGTCAGCTCCCAGCACGACCGGCCATTCACCAAATCTACCCTTTCCCACTGCTTTTATTTATATTTTTTAACACTTTCTCATGTGCCCCTAATTCACACGCAGCTCTGTCCAGACAAGATGGCAGCGTATTGAGGATGCATGGCTGCCTGCTCACCTTCCCTCTGAGTAATAATAGTTACGAAATTCGATGACGCTCCTTCATCTGATCCTCCCGAGTGGAATTCTCCATCCTGGAAACCTGACATTTAGCACATGGTCTTGGGCCCTCGGGCTACTTATGGTCATGGGATTACTCTGTGGGTTCCCAAGATACAGGACAGAAGCAGCTTGCTGGGGAAAGCACCTGAGCTTATTTCTTTCCAGATGTTTCCCTCTCCTGATGCAAAATGTAAAGCAACTTTCTTTTAAGAACCATATGGATGCATTTGGATATACAGAGAGTATAGAACGTGTATATAACCGTATGCAGTGTATCTCCAGAGCCGGCCGCTTCCAGGCTGGCTGCTAGCTGATTAGAGAACGTGTCCACAGCAGTTTCTGGGTTATGTCCCACCTGAGGGGCAGCCAGGAGGTTCGTGACCCCCTGAGGGTGGGCTCGGTCGCTGCCAACAGCGGTGGGGGGAGATACCCCGCCCAATCTCAAGACCCCCGCACACCCTGAATTTGATTTCTTTTGCATGTGACTTCCATTAAGCTTGTCAGGCACTGGAAGCTGTAGAAGAAATATTCTTCAGTGAAAGAAGTGCCATTTTTCACTTAAATGGGTAAGTTTTTCTCATTTTCAAAGCAGTGGAGAATAGTTAAAAATGCGACTATTGCTTTGACTCTGAGCTGGAAGAGCTCCCTTTTCAGCGGCTGGAGGCATCGTAAGCCAACAGGGGAGCCTGGCCGTGGCCGTGTCCCGCTGACCCCACATGAGGGGCCTGCCTGCCTCGGAGCCCAGGGTGGGAGGGAGGCTTGCTGCAGACCCAGCAAGCGCCTGGCGGGGGTCTCCTTTCCACATAGGCCGAGAGCGCCGTCCTTCTTCAGACAGACAGCCGGGGGACGATTGGACGGGGCTGCAGACATTCATGTCTGCCAGAGGCAACAGAGCCAGAGGAAGGAAAAAGTCATGCATGCTTCTCCTGTGCACCCGGAGGATTTCCTGGGCCTCCTGCAGCCGTCCTCGGGTGTCCCCTCCACTGCAGGCCACGGGCTGTTCAAGTTCCACGTGTGCAGCAAGATGATTGGCCCGGTCACACACACCCCCCCAACACACACACACACGCACACAGGGCACACACGTATGCCCTGGAAGACTCACAGTCTCTAAAATCCATTACTCAGGGGAAAAAAAAAAAAAAAAGAGGCTTTAGGCCCCACTGTTTTAGTTCCCAAGTTCACTCTGTCTATCAAAATTCAACCTTATTTCTTGAGAGGGAAATCTGAGGACTAGTGACAAAGACCCAATAGAAGGACAGGTGCCCTCCATGTCTGTGTGAATCGGCAGGTAAGTCCACCTGCTCGAGCCTCAGTTTCCTGGCCTGTAAACTCCTATGGGATTTGTGTGAGAACTAACCTAAGCCGTGAGGGAAAGTGCTTGGGAAATCCAGAAATTGTCACATGAACATTGTGTGTTACTTTTCCAGTATGGGGAACTCTGTGTTAAACAACGGGCTTTAATTAGAACACATTTAAATAAAGGCTCTAATTGAATAATTACAATGATTCAAATAGAATTAACTTATGATCATAGAGTGGTGTTCTGTCCCCAGTCCTCTATGGTAAGTCAGTCAACCAAACTTACTGGCCATCTCTCCACTCACTCTGACATAGGGAAGGAACAAATTTTAGACATGCCTCCTTCCCTAGAGGAACGTAAAAGACAAGAATAACACACAGGAGGGGCACCTGGGTGGCTCAGTCGGTGAAGCGTCTGCCTTTGGCTCAGGTCATGATCTCAGGGTCCTGGGACTGAGTCCCGGGTTGGGCTCCCTTCTCAGCAGGGAACCTGATTCTCCGTCTCTCTCTGTCGCTCCCCCTGCTTATGCGCTCTCTCTGTCAAATAAATAGATAAAATCTTAAAAAAAAAAAAAAAAAAGAATAACAGGAGCCACCAACGAATAAGTGGAGACCTGAGGCAGCTAACAGCTACACTGCACTGTGGACCTTGTAGATTTTGTCCAAGCCCAGAGGTTCCCTGAAGGTGGTCAGGCCAGGCTCCATGGAGAAGTCAGGACTGAGGGACGGCTGAGCAAGAGGGAAGAAGGGCAGGTGTAGAAGTGAGGGAGGGCCAGGGATGCCCTTGTAGGGGACACGATGTTCGTCCCCGCTGGCCCTGGAGGGGACGCCTGGGCAGCTCCTTGCCATTCTCACCTGCAGCGGCCTCTCTATAGATATGATTTTAGGAGGCAAGACACATGCTAAACTCACAGCCTAACCTGGGGTGTGGGGCTGGCCCCTTCTCTAGAATTATATTTCAGAGTTTTATCTGAACCCTTCTAACAACATGCAAAATTTTAATGGAATTTGCTTTCTAGAGGGGCCGAACTGGCTTCCCAAGTGCAGTGAGGGTTGAACCACGGAATCTGGGATGTCACTTAGTCTACCTTCAGACACTGTGCAGGGAAGGAAACAAGCCCAGATGGGTTGAGTGGCATTTCCAAAGTCGACTGGAGGGGTGAAGCCAAGGCCACCCTCTTGCTGGTGCTTTCTGATCCTCCGTGATGCTCCCCATGGACCATGAGGCAATTCACATGGCCCACATTCAAGAGCACACTTTTGAGCTCACCGTTGGGTTGACCTTGAGCCACAGGCTTTCCCAGCTAGTTGGGAAGCACCCAGAGTGATGATCCATTACACAACAAAACCAAATTGGTGGGAAGGCAGTTTGCACTTCCAAGTGCTCTAGGGAGCTATGGCTTGGAGCTCAGCCCGCGGGATCATAATCAATATTCTTTTCCTCCAAAGACATTAATATAATATGCAGTTTTCTTTAGCTTTATGTTATGCTCTACCTTATCTTTGTGATTTTTGCAACCTCCAGTTTACATAGTACAGAGTTTCACTCAACCCCAGGATCCATCTGACCCACACGATGTGGCCAACGAACTGGAAAGGCCAAACAAACACTGTTGGCATCCAGGGAGGCAATAAACGATATTCCCTTGGTTCCAGAAAAAACAGAGGAACAAAGTATGCTGGCAAAGAGACATAATCAAGGCAGGGTACTTGAATAGAGTGTAGATACAAAGGGAAGCAAGGTTTAGTTTCAAGGTCATAACAGGGCTAGACAAATAGCAGAGTGCCCAGGGGAGGGAGTCAGGTTCCAAGGTCATCCTCTTGGGTCAGTAAGGCGGTATGTGTTGAAGGAGTAAATATCTGCACTGCTTCCCACTGCAGACTGACCCTGTTTCTCCTACAGAGGGTGCTTCCTCCTTTCTTCCACTGGAGGTAAATTAAGTGGCCGTCTGCTTTGTAGACATGCATTCACTTTATATCGATAGATCTTGGTGATGTCAATAACTGAGCAACAATAGAACCACTGTAGCTGGATGTGCTTGGTTTTATTCCTACTCACCTGTTCCACCAACATGACCTTGTTTCATGCACATTGTCTCCATTATGACCGTAGTAGGATGCCAATCTACACATCTTGGGCTCCTGTGAACTCTCAGACTGTCCTCACAATTCACACTGAAGCTTTGGTGTATACTCTTTCTAAAGTTGTCCAGTTCTGTGGTCCTCAAAAGGAGGGGGAGGAAATAGGAAATAGGAAAGAAATGTTGACTTTCAGAAGAGGGTGAATGCATGCATGAGTCAATCTAGAGGCACTGTCTTCAGGGGAAAAACAACAATTCAGAAAAGCAGACCTTAAAACCAATAAATGTCTTTCCATTGAACGTTTGTTGAAGTCCTTGCCTGGTCTATGTTCAGTGTTCGCAGGAATGTCTCTAAGTCTCCGTATGCATTATCCAACGTGGTCCATCTCGGGTGGCTTCCAATCACGTGCTGCCCTCTGATCTTTTGTGCTTGATTTACTTGTGGTTTGCTAACTCAGAACTTTGAAGCATGTCACGAGTATTCTCTACAAAAATCAATGAAATATAACTGAACCACATCTAATTAAGCATCACTATGATTTAGATTTCTCCTTCAGCTTCCATTTGCATTATAAAGATCGTTGAACATGTTTGCCAAAGAGTCCCATTAAAGTTGAAATTGTGTGCTTAGCACAATACTGTAGCCTAAACTGAGGCTCAATTACAGAGAGATTCCTCTGAAAAACTGTTATAGAGTAGCAATTCTAGAACGTGACAATTTTCACACACCCTAAGTTCAATCTGTTTAAAAGGTATTACAGCTAATTTTTCACACTAGTATATAAATTGGCTTCTAGTTTTTATTTTAAACTGTTTATCAGAGAAATTTCCCAGCCTTTATGTCAATATTGAAATCATTTTCCAATCAAGAGCACATTCTTCTTTTAAAATCTGAAAATGTGAGTGACTGTGTTAGTATTGAGTAGGTGAGGGCTCTGGGATCAAACAGCCTTGAATCCACCCTCTGCCTCTTCTCACGCGTGGACAAGGAACTTAGCCTCCAAGACACTCAGCTGCCACTTTCTTACCTAA